GGCTGACAAATTGGACTGAATCCCAACTTATGCTTAGAAGAGGCCCACAGAAATAAGAGGACTTAAAATTAGATGTGACTAGCTTATTAATTATAATATCATGTTTGATGTAAGCAGGACTAAAACCCTAAAATGGGTTGCTTGTAGCCTTAAACCTCATCTGCTATATAATGCAGTTTCATAAAACAGTTTAACTACACTGAACTGCATTATATGGCAGTCTGAACTCAAACTGCACTATGAAACTGCATTATATAGCAGATGAGGTTTAAGGCTACAAGCAACCCATTTCCCCCTTTTCCAGAAAATGTGATTTCTTCATTTTTACTTGTTTATAATAAATTACAATTTTTTTCACAAAAACTTTTATTTACGTCTGTCATATTGTAGTTTTGTTGAATTCCACTTCTGCTTTGGGTTTACTACTGTTTTCACAGGAACTTCTCCCTTTCCCTTTAAATCCTTGTAATCATTGTCGTCTACCAAATTTTCGTATTAAAGTGTTTCACAGAGGGCTGGGTTACCCTGCTGGATTATGGCCTGGAAGCTAACCCTGTTTGGTACTGCTTTTAGATTTTCATTATACCATCATATTATAGGCCTATATTGGAAAGAAGTGGGTAGGAATGGCATCAATTTATCAGTTAACCATGCCCTGTCTTCCCAAGGTGACATTTTCCAGTACTGGACTTTCTAATCCCATCACTTTGAACAATACTCTGCTATGGACTACAATGGACATGGATACCACAGGTGCCTGACATGCCTTGATTGGTCAATAACAAACCAAAAGAACAATTCCATAACCGTCAGGGACCTGATGTCCCTGCTTTGTTCATCCCAACAGAGGGAAAAGGTGGCACATTTACAACACTGTTTACTCCTTTGTCTCCTGGACTGTCCTGTCCCCCGTCAGCCATTGGAGAACAGAAATCTGCATAGGAAGCGAGGAATGCTCTCTGATTGGCTTGTGGGTGTCGCAGTCCTGCCTCTCCAAAGGAATTTTCCCAGCTGGCTATGACATCTGGGCTGGCTTTGTCAATCAGTGCGAAACCTGCTCCAGTTGGGGCATGAGCAGGAAAAACAAAAGATTTCCCTGTATAAAAATGTATGCTTTTGCCTATGTCAAACATGTCAGCTTCCTTTAACAGCTTACCATGAGCTGTCATCCTTTCCAGCTGGATTGAATAAATATCTTGGTGGCTTTCTTCTTCAACTGGTGATACCTTTTGATTGAGAAACATTGGGATTATAACTTCTTGGTCTCACCAGGCACAGATCCACAGGCGGCCTGCAGGCAGTACCAGTCACCCACTTAACAGGTCTCGGTATCCACGGCGCAGTTTTTCTATCGGTGGTCCAGATCTCACTATCCGCGACTATCCTAAATTGCTCGATTTCAATGGGAGTATGTGATACTGGTAAACATACATTTTTAATTTTCAGTCATGGAGGAATGGGATGTTTGTGAAGCCTGGAGTAGTCATACTGTCAGATTAATATATTGTTCAACTTCCTCTTGAAGAAAGACATGACCAAGAACCCTTTGGGATTATTTGGTGTGGCTTTCTTTTCCATAGTATATATACTTCTATACTTCTCAGGGAAAGTTGAAATTAATGTTTTAAAATTAAGACGAATGTTAAGAAGTAATCTCTGAAACATTTATTAGGTGTTTTAAGTCATGTTTTAAATGTCGTTTTGTCTTATCTTATGATGAATTGTCCTATTGATTTTATGCTTAGTTAAATGGTGTTGATTGTGATTTGGTGCATATTTGTAAGGCATTGAATTTTGTCACTATTTCTATGTAAACCTCTTTGAGTCCCTCCCAGGCGTGAGTAAAGCAGTATATAAATACTGCAAACAAACAAATAAATAACTTGATGTATTAGAAACATCAGATAAGACATACTTCGTTCTAGCACTTCTCTGGAATGATAAATCAGTTTGTGTTTTCCATAAATAATAAAGTTATCCATATTTGTCTAATGGTAGCCATAAAGAAAACATGAAAGGTTACGTTTTATGTTTTATGTATGGAGTAAGTGGAACAAATGTGATATTTGAAATGAAGGGCAAAGTCCTGGTAAAGTATTAATGCTTTCCTGGGAAATGGAATTCGATAGTGCCAAAATCAAGAATTGGAAGTGCTTTACTTTGTTTGATTGTGTCATGTTTAACTTATTTTTAAATAAGAACTAATTACTTACTCAGAGGGAGATTTACTTTTATACTGTGAGGTTATAGAAATACACACACACACTTTTTGGATAAAGTGTCCATAAAGTAGTAAACTGTCCTTAGAATTGAAATTTTAAAATGAATTTCTCTTGGTCATTATTTGGAAGTAATTAAAAGTTTTAAGTCTGAATTTGAAGCCAGTGTGCCATCATGGTTTGAGGAGACTACAACTCTAGAGAACAAGGTTTGAATCCCTGCTTGGCCAGGAAAACTCATTGGTTGTCCTTGGGCAAGTCTTTCAGTCTCAGAAATCTCTGTGGTAGGTTCAACTTATGACTGCCATAAGTCAGAAACAACGTGAATACATTAAATCTTCACAAAATTCTGTCCTCTGTTATAAAATATGCTTACCGTAAGTATTAAGGTAACATATCCACATAAAAGAGAACCAGTTATACCATAAAAGGAATGAAATTCCTTATGTTGACAGATGAAATGTCTACATTCTGATTACTTTCTGAAAAATGACTGCAAGATTTAATAATATTATATTATACTATTCTACTAACAGCGTTCCATGCAGTCATGCTGGCCACATGACCTTGGAAGCATCTACAGATAACGCTGGTTCTTAGCATTAGAAATTGAGATGAGCAACACCCCCCCCCCCCCAGAGTCAGAGTCAAATAGACTTAACGTCAGGGGAAACCTTTACATTTTCTTCTTCTTCTTCTTCTTCTTCTTCTTCTTCTTCTTCTTCTTCTTCTTCTTCTTCTTCTTTTCTTCTTCTTCTTCTCTCTCTCTCTCTCTCTCTCTCTCTCTCTCACACACACACACACACATATATTTGTTGTTTATTCATTCAGTCACTTCCAACTCTTTGTGACCTCATGGACCAGCCCATGCCAGAGCTCCCTGTTGGCCGTTGCCACCCTTAACTCCTTCAAAGTCAAGCCAGTCACTTCAAGGATACCATCCATCTTGCCCTTGGTCGGCCCCTCTTCCTTTTTTCCTTCAATTTCCCCCAGCATCATTGTCTTTTCTAAGCTTTCCTGTCTTCTCATGATGTGGCCAAAGTACCTTATCTTTGCCTCTGATATCCTTCCCTCCAGTGAACAGTCGGGCTTTATTTCGTGGAGGAAGAACTGGTTTGATCTTCTCGTAGTCCAGGGCACTCTCAGAATTTTCCTCCAGCATCACAGTTCAAAAGCATCTATCTTACTTCACTCAGCCTTCCTTATGGTCCAGCTCTCACATTCATAGGTTACTACAGAGAATACCATTGCTTTGACTATGCTGATCTTCGTTGCCAGTGTGATATCTCTACTCTTCACTTGGCATTTTACCAATTAGTTTTGCATGTTATCTATCTTTTTGTATTTGTTGAAATTGCTGTAAGCTACCTTGGATTCCAGATTAGAGGAAAGGTGGGATATTACTTATTTATTTATGTATTTATTAGCTATTATTATTTATTTTAGTTGTGTAATATCCACCCCAAACAAGATTCAAGGCAAATGTATTATTTATAAGGAATTATGTCTAAACTCTCTACCTTATTGTGTTCATTGCATTTTCCTTCTATCTGTTGGCATAAACAATAGGAAATAAATTTCAGTCTTGTTTTACTAGAATACTGTGGCAATTAGAGGAAGATGCATGACACAATACCAACCATGAATGTGACAGTTGAGACAAAGAGGAAGAGTAGCAGGATTGCATAATTTGGCTCTGGTGACTGTAGAAAATGACTCCATGTCTTATCATATACATTGAAGAACAGTATGAGCTTCTCAGAACTGTGTGGCTTTCTGAAAAGAGTGATTGCCTAAATACAGGCCTATTAATAAATCTGAAGGTACTTGAAAGTTGTAACTTCAGGAGAGAATATATCTGTACAAGCACATTTAACTCGACTTGTGCTATAAGAGTATTCAAGCCAGGAGTTTTGAAGACTTTACAAAGTCTTCAAAACTCATGGCTTGAATACTCTTATAGCATGGCGTTATATACAGTCAATAACTTGGCTTGCTTGTCGTTAGAGAACTGTCCCTGGTTGTGGTCAATCTGTGAGTCCCACTAAACTATGATATATTGAGATTTGCATGATGGAAAACACCACAAACCTTTGGTCTGTAAACCTTCTCCATGCTTTTCCTTCCAAATATGAGGAAAGAAGACTTTGAGAATGTCACCCTCACTTTACCTGTTATCTCAGATGGTCACGTTGTCTAGATCAGGGATTGTGGCTGTTAAGACATTTTGTTTAGTTTCAAAATGTGTCAACTTCAGGATTGTGGCAAAAGCCTTTCCACCTCTTTCCTCACCAGTCTCTCAATTTGTTCTAGTCAGTATCAAAACTTACATTTAATATTTTTAATTTTTTTTGTTTTTCTCAACATATCCATGAGAAGGGTTGAATTGTTACAAACACCCACATTCTGAATGAGTACTCATACTATATGTATTCTTGTATGTACATAGTACAACATGTGCAACAACAAAGTCATGCTCTATTTGGTCCTATGCTTGTGGTTTCTCATTTGTTTTGTTTACCTAGGGGTACAGCTACACTGTAGATGTAATGCAGTGTGGCAGTACTTTAACTACATGATTCCACACTATGAAATCATGGCAGTTGTGGTTTAGCAAAGCCTTTAGCTATCTCTGCCCAATAGTGCTGGAGCCCCATCAAACCACAACTCCCCCATAGGAATGAACCACTGCAATTATACTAGTATCAAACCACTATAATTCTCCAGTGTAGATGCACTGGATTTCAAATTTATTTACCAGCTAATCATCATGAGACTTACTTGAAGGATGCAATGCAGGCATTGGTGGACCACCTCAAAATGATGGCATTTCCACAGGTGAGAGTAAATCCACAAGACGTGTCCATATCTTCTTCTTTCTCCTCACTGTACACAATCCAGAGTTCACTTAGATCCACATTGTTTTTTAATTTGAATGTTGTGCCAGATCTGAAAGAAGCAGCCACACTGAGTGAGTTGCGTTTCATTCCTATTAAGAGCCTTTTGCAAATATTTCCACTGTACTGCTGAAGACTCTCCATTTCGTTAAATATAATAAAAAATATCAACAACACAATCTTTGCATTAAAACTCTGTTTAGGAGGGCTGATGGACACTTCAAAGCAGTAAGTAATGTGTGTGTATATATATATAAGGAGGAGAATTTCTCCAGTGTTTGTGCTTTTATCCTCAAAATCACTCTTGCTGTCATTTTCCTCATAGTTAATGACTTCTAATTTTGCAATCTCTGTGAAACAAATATACCTGGAGGGGAGTAATTTCTGAGACAAAAACAGTTGACAGGACAACGACGATTTATATGCTTCTTTCCCTTTCCCAACGAGACTCAAAGTGGTGAACATTGCTTTAAAAAGAGATAATTGTCACTCCCATTCTGGGTTTTAAATCTTCCCATCTCTGTTATATAACAAAACTCATGGCACATGTTTGGTGCTATAATATTTAGGTAGCTGTCTGTGAAAGTGAGGAACTGTGTAGTGTAGTGGTGGACTAGGACTCTGGAGACTGGGTTCAAATCCCAACTTGGCCATAGAAGCCCATCGGATGGCATTATTATTATATTTATTTATACCCCACTTTATCTCTCCTGCAGGAGACTCAAAGTGGCTTAACATAAAAGCATCGGCATAATATTTAAACTATACAAATATGCAAACATTAAAACAGGATGAAATAAAAACACTATTTAAAAATTCCCAATCAAAAACCATTATTTATTTATTTATTTATTTATTTATTTATTTATTTATTTATTTACTGTATTTGTATACCGCCTTTCTCAGCCAATTGGAGACTCATTAAAACATATTCAAAGTCAAAAACCACAGCACTCCCTGGCTTTATCTTTAACACCTTCTTCTTTAAAATCCTGTTTGAATTAAAAAGTTTTAGCCGGCCGCTGGAAGGACAGCAAGGAGGGGACCATTCTGGCTTCCCTGGGCAGGTAGTTCCTGAGTTGAGGGGCATCCACCGAGAAGGCCCGCTCTCTCATTCCTGCCAACCAAGCTTGAGATGGAGGCTGTGTCAGAGTTTGTTTCATGCTCTGGTGGTTCTTGTATATATCTTGTATATATTGCAACTGAATATAGAAAGCCTTCCTGTGTTTGGAACAAGCATCTGAAGTCTTGTGCTCCTGCCACAACTACAAGGAGGGGAGCTTGCATTCTATCTAGCATCTTCAGGGAAAGCTTCAAGAACTCTGTTGTTGTTGTTTATTCATTCAGTTGTTTCCAACTCTTTATGAGCTCATGGACCAGCCCATGCCAAAGCTCCCTGTTGGCCGTGGCCACCCCCAGCTCCTTCAAGGTCAAGCCAGTCACTTCAAGGATAACCTCTACCCATCTTGCCCTTGGTTGGCCCCTCTTCCTTTTTCCTTCCATTTTCTCCAGCATCATTGTCTTCTCCAAAGAGTATTTCATGGCCAAAGTACTTCATCTTTGCCTCTAATATCCTTCCCTCCAGTGAGCAGTTGGGCATTGTTTCCTGGCGTATCCACACAGTCAAAGACATTAGAATAGTCAATAAAACAGAAATAGATATTTTTCTGAAATTCCCTGCCTTTCTCTATTATCCAGCGGATATTGGCCATTTGGTCTCTCGTTCCTCTGCCCTGTCTAAACCCAGTACATCTGGCAACTCTCGATCCATGTATTGCTGGAGTCTACCTTGAAGGATCTTGAGCATTATCTTAGATAACAGAAATCCCTGTCAGGTAGGACCGAAAGAAGGGCCTCTCCTGAAGATCTCAGGGCCTGGGCAGGTTCGTCCAAGGGGATCCAGTCAGCCAAATAGCCTGGATCTGAACCACCTAGGGCTTTAAAGGTCATAACCAGCACTTTGAATTGTGACCAGAAACAGACTGGCAGCCAGTGGAGCTGCTGCAACAGGGCAGTTGACTTGAAGCAAGCCACAGTCTCTCAGCCTCAGAAGAAGGCAAAGGCAAACCAACCTGGGACTAGCATTTTTTTAAAAAAATAATGTTTACTATCACTTTATGCTGCTTTTTATCCCATTCTTTCTCTAATAAGGAGCTGAAGACAGCATACTGTGAATGGGAGATTGGGGGTTTGCCTACATTTTAAATATAATTTTAATGTATTTTAACTTTTACACTCATGACACAACTGTTTAACTGTTTTTAATTTTCATATCCATATGAAAATTTATTTTTAAATTCTATTGTATTGTGTCATGTCATTGTTAGCCACACTGATACCCTTTGGGGAAGAAGGTGGATTATGATGATGATGATGATAATGTTGATGATGATGATGATGATGGTGATGGTAATTTTTGGAAATTTATCTTCACAACAACCCTGTCAAATAGGTTAGATGGAAAGAGAGTCACTAGACAATGATGATTTCATCATTCTTAGAGATCTGAAAGCAGGTTTCCTCAGCCTCTACAATTCTAACCCAATATTTTGACTTATTTGTTGAAGTGAATGGACTTGCTTCTGATTCAACATGTACAGGATTGCACATCTCACTATGTTGTGTTTGTGTAGTTTCATTTTCCTGCTTGCCCTGGGTTGTTGCAGCAACAGCAACAACAATAACAATACTTTATTTTTAATTCCTCTACTATTTTATTTTGCATTTGTTTTATTGTATATTTTGCTATTGTATGCATGTTACTTTGATGTTATTATTTGTTTGTTTGTATTTTATTTTGCTTGATTGTAATTCTTGGGATTGGCCTCATGTTAGCTGCCCCAAGTCCCCTTGGGGAGATGGTGGCAGGGTATAAATAGTTTATTATTATTGTTGTTGTTATTGTTATTATTATTATTATTATTATTATTATTATTATTTATAGGCTGCCCTATCTCACTGAGGGGACTCAAAGCTTTATTACCTCAATAAACAAATAAATATAGAAAGAAAAGGGATGAAACATGGGAAAATTCTTAACAAAAACTGAATGAGCTAAAAACCTGAAAAAATGCATGTTTCTTCTCTTAAGTGAAGTCATATAAGTCACCGAGAAACGTGACGAGTAAGAGAAGTAGCCTTATTTGGTGGTTTCTTGTGAAATTGTGTATGTTTTCTAAGACTCAAGTTATAGCCACTTGTTTTGCAAGAAATCTTCCCTGTCTGCTCATCCCTTATGAATCAGTTGCTTTCTACATTTGTGTGTGAGGTTTTTGTAGACAGAAGATGTCCTGGGTTCTTATGGAAAGGCAGAAATTTCACTTTTGTAGTGTGTCATGATGTGAGGGCTCCAACAAGTGAAGCAAATATTGCATCCCATGAAAGTTCAAAAGCATGTTAGGTGACTTGTGTTGAACAAACTGCTTCAGCAAATGGAGAATGTATGCTTTCAAGTCATTTCTGATTTATTGCAATTCTAATAACAAAACCAAAAACAAGGTTTCTAAGCTGGTCTGATCTGAGGTTTTCTGATATAATAATAATAATAATAAATAATAATAATAATAATAATAATAATAATAATAATTTATTTGATCAGTCATATGTCCATTTCAAAATAGAACATGAGTAAAAAAAAACAAGGCAACAAGGTGAAGATAGCAGCCGACCTTCTATTTATAGTCAGAATCTTATTTTCCTGGTTCTTCTTTCAGGAAATCTGCTCTTTTCTTAATAGTTTTCAGAATAAATAGGCTTACTCTGATTATGCTGGATCTTTCCTGCCCTTGCAAGAGGGATGTCAGAATATCATTTCTGTTGGGGGGCCTGCAGTTGGATAATATTGGATGTAAATATCTGTCTCACAGTTCAGTATATGCTGGACAGTCAATTAAGAAATGTTCAATGTCTTCCACTGTTTGTTCTCCCCAGACACAGAATCTCTCACTTCTTGGGATGTTACAGTAGTGCCCGGTTTGCACCATAGTACCGAGTTGTTCAAACCTAGCCCTAGTATATATTCTTCTTAAGGGTAGAGGAAGTGGAATAGTTAGGTAGTGCTCTAAATGAATATTCCTTTTGTGGGAAGCAGGTTTTCTGATATTCTTTTCTTATTGTTTAATTGGCTTTAGCACAGCTGGTTAATCACCAGCAGCAATAGATCTTTCCCAACCAAAAGGTTGGGAGTTCGAGCCTGGGTCAGGGTAAGTACCCGACCTTCAGCTCAGCTCACTGTCCACCTAACCAGTTTGAAAACAGCTGTAGCTGTGAGTAGAGATATTAGGCACCGCTTAAGCATGGAGGTATTTTATGGCACCATAAAAAGCTGTCAATCAAAGAACAGGAAGAAAGCATGTGATCAAGAAGGCTTGTCATCATAGAGGATGGAGTGACAGCACCCCCTGTGGCTGGAATTGAGCATAACCTCCAGGATACCGAAGCTGCAAAATCCTGAAATGCATACCTAATGCATTGAATGTTTGCTGTGTATGTGTTCTGTGATCTGCTCTGAGTCCCCTTTGATGGGAGAAGGGCAGGATATAAATGCTGTAAATAAATAAATAATCGATAAATGTAATTAATTCAAATATTTACACAGTGGGGCCTTAGTATCCACTGGGGGTTATTACCAGGACCTCCTGTGGAAATCAAAACCTGTGAATGCTGCAGTCCCATTATATACAATGGAGTAACAAAATGGTGTCCTTTATGTAAAACGGCAAAGTTTTCCTTTTTTTTTTTCTTCTAGAAATATTTTCATGCCATGTGTGGTTGAATCTGTGGGTATGGATGGCCAACTCCAGCCCGCCCTATATCAAGAGGTCTTGAAGTGGCTTACAATGTCATTAAACAGGCTGAAAACAGTAGAATAGTTTAAACAATCTTAAACATATTTAATAATATAAAAATAGATGTTTAAATATCAAACTATAAACAGCAGTCATTGGGTTGCAAAAAAGAGGCCCAAAGTGGCTTTGGTGACAAGTCAAATTTAATTTGGCTGGTAATAAATCAGCCATCACTACCATCACCATCATCTTCATAATGATTTGC